GTTGTTTGAAGGTGCCACTGTACTGAATTGCACATTGCTGGAGTTGAAATCTTTCAATAATTTTAATAATAAAACTATAAACATTACGTCAAGTTTTGAATCTTTCATTTAGTATTAAATATGTAACTGATTATTTGAGGCGAGGATCATTACTCAACACAATATTCTATTCTGTAACTGTATTTTTATAAGAATTTATCATGTAATTATTGTCTGTACGTTGTAATATTCGTTTTAAAATCTGTAATAAGCTTAATTATAGATAAATTCGTTTATGCCATGTGTTTATTGCATCCAAATGCGTGGTTCTTCGTAAACTTTCCATACAATATCCAAGTATTCAACATAATTATGTATAACATTGTGCGAAAGTAGAGTACAATGTAGTACATAAAAGTTGCGTGCATCATTGCACATAAATCAATACACTATGAACCAGAAATAAAACTGCAAAATATCATTAATTTTACTCGTATTATACGACAACAAATAAGGAATACATATGTAATATGGCAACTTAGTTTCAGTATCATTACTCAGTATATCGATTACCCCATACTAAAGCATGAGATCCCTATTTAGTGCACAATCACAAAGTGTTATATATATAAACGATAAATTTATTATTCCAGTTACGATGATTAATAATATAATGCAAGTAAACTGAATATACCACGTAATACTATTGTTCAGCATCATTAACGCTGCACAATACAAAATAACAATTTATATTTTCAACATTTCAATTCGTAAAACATTAAAATAAACTAATGTAAAATAGTAAAGCCCAAAAGTCAGTTAATCGTGCATTTTCAATTAATTCAGTAAGATTGCAAGAAGTCAGCAATTTGTGGAAGGATTGTTGGAATAAGGCAACATAACACTTGGCCAATCTGCCAACAGGCGATGCCTGCCAAGATGGTAAACTGGGCTCTAAATAGGAGCCAGTTTTTCATAGAAAAACCCAGAAAACTCTACGTGTCTCTTTTGTCAGGAGCGAACCCATGACCAGCTAAAAGTGTTCAGTGGTTTTATCCACTCGGTCACTGATGAGCGACGGTTTATTTAATTTATATCACTTACCTTTTATGTTTTTTACATAAAAATATAGATTGTAAAGTGCTCTCCATTAATTTCCTCTTATGTATGTATGTATGTATGTATGTATGTCCATCTCATCGTGGGTTGAAAAGATGCCAAAGCGCTAATTTATGTATCGAACATAGAAAAAACATCTTTGCAGTTTGTAAGTAATAAATTATTTGAATAAAATGGATATTCATGCTTTACGAAGGTTAACTGACTTTTGGGCCATCCTGTTTAATCTCATTACTTACTAGAAACAAGAAATTCAATATTTTCAATCTTAATAATTTTCTTAATATTCAATTTAAATTTCACAAATAATAATAAATAATTTTTAAAATAAATTTTTAAAAAGTTTGGATTTTTTAACTATATAAAAGAACAAACAATACAGTAAATAAGAAAAAGCATAGCATTTGATGTAAAATATTGAAAAATTTCCTTACAATAAAAATCACTTTCTACTTTAAATATTATTATAATAAAAAAAAACTAATGTTTTTCTAGAAGAGAAAGTTTATTAGTCTTTAAAAAAAAATAATGTATTGAAAAAAATGTGCATTAAAGCCCATCTTTATACAAATCTTAAGCAAAACTTACCTTAAAAGAAATCATTTTCTTTAAAATCTGATTTTATAAATCATATTAGCCTTTATAAGGATTGTTTTAAGATAATCTTATAAAGAATTTTCAAACAGAGCAAAAAATTTTACTTCAGTTGTTGACCTTTTCTATATTAATAGAGAAAAATTATCTTCTAGAATAAAGATCAAAAGGTCATATCTTGTAGTTTCTCTGTTAAAAATTTATTTCTCCTTTTTCTCTTGTTGAAAAATTTTAATAAAAATAAATAGTAATAAAACAAAAATCTCAAATTGCACTCGCTGTTATTAAACTCCCTTTTTTAATTACAATAATTACGATCCGATGATAAAAACCATGCAAACGTCTACAGAGTAATAAAAATTAATTTTTAATGTGTTACGCTTAACTTATTTAATTCTTTCTAAGAAAATCACTGTTAAACAGAGTACGGAATTATTCTTTTATAAAAAACTTTAATTACGCTTAATACTTATTTTGTTTTTCGTGCCTTTGTGAACGACAGCAAGCAATTCATTGAAAAAAACTTATATACATATACGAGTTATATAAATTTAATTTGAAGAAAATTAATTATAACAAAGAAGAAATGTAATTTTGTAAAATTATTAAATTATAACATAGAAATTAGCTTATATTTCCGGAGTTAATAATGAAGTAATACCAATTTCAACTAATTGACAGGAAAATGGAAGCATTTAAATTCGACGAAAGTGTTCAGTTAATTAATAACTATGCAATAACGGATAACAGTTTCGAGTTACTGATATTTATTAATTAACTAATGTTATCATATTTAATTAATAATATTCTGTTTCATTAGTTATATTATTCTGCTTGAAATCAAATGAAGCGAGAATATTTGGAGATGAGTTGTTACGGACCTTTCATTGCTGTGTATACGATACAGGGCATCAGAATATGCACGTAACTCCATTTTAACTGAAGATTTACTATTTCAATTTCAGTCAAATTCAAGTATTTTAATCTACGTATGAGTGGCGAGATCGAATATTTAAAATTTGCAAGGAAATTAGCAGCCAAACTTCGATATAACGTCTTCCTAAACAAGCCACCCTCAAAGCGTTAATGAATACTTATGAATGGATCTGTTCCATAATTATAAAACACAGACCTCCTTCAGTATCACTAAATTAATTAAGTAATGTACGATTTTGCATTGTTGAAACCAATATTATCACTAAACATCATTAGAACATATAATTCTTTTTGTTTGAGGTAGATTAACGCCACACTCGATTTAGCGCCAGTTTCAGGTTGGTGCTAAATCGAAATTAAACTGTAAATGTTTGGTTTGTGTTTTCGATTATTATTATTATTTTTTATTTTTATTTATTTATTGATTGAAAACGTTCACCAGTAGGTAAAAATAATGCAATTTATTATAATTTTATTGTGAAAATTAATATATTTTCCTTTTTTTTAAAATGTAATCTTCGATTTTTATCACTACTTTTGCACGTGTTAAATATAGTACGTTCGATTCTTAAGGGTATTTATCGATTGAAAAAGGTTATTTTACTTCGTTCTGCGCTGAAATCTGTTATATTTTTATTGCGAGGTATATCAATAATATATCTATTAATAAAAGCCTTTCTGAAGATTGCGTGTTCTTGCTAACTCCTGTAGAATTTTCTTATTTATTTTCTTTTAATATAACTTTAAAGTTTTTTTTTTCTTTTTCTTAATTTTTCTTTTTTTCCTCAACATCTCTCACTATATTGTTTTTGTACAGTGTTTTAATATAAAACATTCCTTTGAAATATTTTCATTTTGTCTTAACGTAATGCTCTTTCAAAGACTTTTTTTTTTTGATAAATATAAACCGCGTTTTAACGTCACATCCTATTTGTATTTTTGTATCTTAAACACTTTCTAAATAAAATTTTCATGTGTATTTTTCTAGTTTTTTTACATAACCTCGTTAATACTATTTTAATATCTGTTTACAGTTTTTTTTTACCTTATTTTACACGAAACTCAATAGTTTTAATACTACGTATACAATATTTCATTTTTATATTTTAAAAATTGCTGTTTTAAATTCCATTTGAATTAAATGATTAAAAAATTAATTTGCAACTTTGATTTAGAGCAAAATTTCATTGCAATTTGTCTTATTTCTTTCTTCAAACTGCATTTTTTAATTTTTAAACCCAATTTTAACTCAATTTCTTTCTTGTCATCATATTCTTTGCCAGTTTTACACCATCCATACTTCAATTTAACTTCGTATTTAAGCGTAATTTCCTTCTTTTCCCGTGTTTACGTGGAGTAATATTTCATTTCGTTTTACCCCGTTTTAACGTAATGATCATTTAACTAATTTTGCCTTATACTCACTACATTTTCCTGTCCTGTCTCCTTGCATCACATCGTTTTTTACGCTTACTAAACTGTAAACTGAAATTTTTAATAGCCCTATATATTACGCAGGTCGAGACATACTTCACGTCACCAAAGTTCAATTAAGTAAATAAATATGTTTACTATAACACTGCTTCTTAACGTAATTTTACGATAACAGATGACTGTAAATGACCTTTCTTGTGTTGTACATCACGTTGCTAAGCAACCTATACAGAAAAATCAGTCTTGTAAAACGCAAGAACAATTAAACCGGTGATTTTTCTATCAATTTTTTTTTTTTTTTTATTTTTAAGCGGGAGCAACGTTATTCCGGTGAATTTACGTTCTTTTACGTTCTTTACAAGTGAAATTTAAGTTTTGCTCTTTTGGAAAGTAGAATGTAAACAATCCCTGGTTCGGGGGATTAACAATAAAAACAGCAGGTTGCACACGCATGAGGAGGCTAAACAAGCAAGCAACAGATGCACACAGGATTGTTTGTATTAGTTATCTACTCTACAGTAAGAACTACGTCTACTTGTCCATCCATATTGAGTAGAAGTGACAGGGAGTCGCGTTGACATCTCAATTTATCTGACAGCCACGGAGGAGTGTCGGCGGGATGCTAGCAGCTGCACTTTGGCTACTGACATGCTCTTATCTTGCTTAAACCACACCTTCCCATACACACAGTTGAAGAAGCAAAGCACGTATGTTGACACAAGACTTATTGCCAACTACCCCAGCTAACTTCTAAGCCAGATGCAGAAAAGCTAAATGTGTTACTCCCAACGACAATATTTTGAAATTTTGAAACATTTTTTTCCTTTCCATCCCTCTCGCCCCCTTTAAAAATTCATAACGTTTAAAGTAGACCAATAACAACCAACTCAGTACAAGAACAGGAGAAAAGGGGGAGAGAAAAATACATTTTTACTCACTTTAGCATCAATGATTTTCATTCCTAAGACCAAGACGATTAAAAGAAGATCCTTGAAAGACACCATCTTATGGGAAAACTGTAATAAAATTATTCTAATNATATAGAGTCAACCTCAATATAGTGTCATCGTAAATAAAGTCACTCTCATAAAGTGCCAAATGAATAGTCGCCAACGGATCTTTCCCATAAATATTAAACAGAGAACTCTTCAGTGAGTTACTAAATTCAATGTTGTTTTCAACGCAAAATCGTGTAAGCCACATAATATTGGTGGTAACAAAGTCAAACCTGTTTGCGGACATCATTTCATACTGTTTGGGTTACTTCAGTTTAGCGCCATACTCGATTTAGGCGCCAATTTCATATGCAAATAAACAGTGGCGCTAAATCAAAGTCTAATTGTATGTATACACAAGCTATATAATGTAAGCTACATATATGGAAATGAACTGTATAATCTATATATTAACTGAAAGAGGGTTTCACTGTCCAACTTAGTTGGAGTAAACGAATGGGGTTAAAAATACGGTTCAGATATCAAATTAAAGCTCTCATCCTGTAGTTTATGCCGCTGAAAAGAGATTTGAGAAAGATGCAATGGTTCTGGCGTGGCGAAGTGGCAACGGTACAATATACAAGTCTACGGGACAAACATGTCGGGGTGCCACTCCCTTGTTAACTTTAACCGTGTNCGCGCAAATCTAATTACCATATATATTATATAATTATAAACTTTACAACCAATATCAAAATTAAAAACCGTTTGCATAATTAAAATACTTAACGATATAAAACTTAAGAGCAGAAAAATAAAACAAAAAAACAACACAAAGAACCATAAAATTTCATCTCTAGTAACGTGACAATGGATCCTCAAGAGACTGTAGATTTTTATTTTTTTATATATATATATTTTTTCCTATCATCCATGTACGATAACGGTTAATGCGAAGTCTAGCCTTAACCAATAGGGAATTGAACAAAAGAACTGCATTTTGTACTTTTCCTACAGCAAGGTGTCTACAGAGGAAGAGGAACACGTCATGTTGCTAGAGATATGTCAGTAAAGAATGACAGCAACACTTCCAAAAATGTCAACACAACCGATAGTGTCTGAAGACATGAACAAACAATCGAATTTTAGATATCTGCATTTTCTTCCTCCATTAAATATTTGTTAAATAAATTTTATAACCTCAAACACTATCTATTCTACTCACTTTCTATTCGTACTTTGAGTCTTCCTACCAATATTTTTAAAATTAAACTTTTATTTTATTACGTTAATAGCGCTTATCTTTTATTGTAAACAAATTTTTAAATTTGTAGTTGGTAAAATAACTTAAACACTACAGTTTTATATTGAATAAAACTTAAATTTATGCTAAAAAAAACTTAAATGTATACATTTGTCTATATTAAAAATTTTTCAAATATTTTAAATGTAAATATTATTTTTATGGCAATTTATTTAAAACTCTTTTTTAATAATTTATTAACAATTTTGTTTAGTTTAAAGCTTTTAACAAACTAAAAATTATAAAATATTTTCATTCTATAATTAATGAATATTCGTATATTCTTTCTATTGTAATATTTTATGTAAACGTTAATATTATTCTATTGTTTATCTACTTCATTATTTAAGACTATTTAACTATCAATATTCCACATCATCACTTATTATTTTTCATATTTTTCTTCATTTCTTTCATTATTTTGATGATTATGACAAAAGCTACATTTTTCTCATTTTTCCTTTATTAATTTTCTTTCAAACTTTTTCTTTCTAAGAAATTTCCCTGCATGAATGATTTATAATAGATATTTACTAAAATAATTTATTAATTTTTTGATATTTTTCTCATTTAATGGATCAAAAGTAGTAACTATCCACGACTGCATCATAGATTCTGCACGTTATTCAATTTTAAATTATTAATAACTCTCCAAAAAATCTTATTATACAAACTTTGCGAATAAAAATAACTTTATCTGTGCTTTTTAAGGTGTTTATTCAATCCAGATGTAGTTTTTCTCTTCATTCTTTTTATATTTTTTTTTTTTTTCTTCTAGAAATCTACTCTTTTCAAGAAGAAACCATATTACAATGTTGGTTTTTGCAAACTATCAGTTAAATATTTATACAGCCATAAGGAAACAGTAATTTCCAACTACTGAATAGAAATAGAAAGAATGATTACTAAGGTTATTGGACTTTCAATTTATTTTAGTTCNTTTTAAAATATTTTATTTTAAAAAAATTAAATATTTATAGGTTTTTCTAATAAAATTTTTAATAAAATATAATGTAAGTTATTTTAAAGTAAACAAGCATGTTTCCTTTTTTTCTTTTTGTGTGTGTGTGTTATCAGTGACACATGCTGCTATGGCAACATAAGGAAGTTTTTCATGCAGGAGACGGTCTAAAATTGAAATGTAGAAAAAGCGTCACCATATATATATTATATATGAGTAGAAGCAATGGTTGGGGATGAAGATCCTTCGGGTCCTTTCTTACTCCACTGAGTCGGAAATTTCCCTCCAGGCTGTCAAAAAATTTGAAACCTAGGGGAAATCTAACTTTGGCAACATCACCTTCAAATTCAGTTCCATAGAGGATAGTTTTACTCCATTTTAAGGCTCTTTTGAGGTAAAAATTTTTTTCTAAAAGTTGGGAAAACTCTCCAGCGAAGAGGAATGCAGAGCTTTATATAGTCGAACCTTTAATTCATGGTAAAGCCTTTTAGGGATTTTTCCTTTCTTTTTAAACTTAAAATGTTGAAATTTTTTATTTATTTATTTATTCTTTCTCAAAATGATTGAATTTCAGAAAAAGTTGGATATTTATTTTTCAAGAAATGTTATGCTTTTTATAAAAATAATATATATTTTAAAGCTGAAGTTCCCAGGCTCATGTTTCTCCTTGGAAATCAATATTTACCATTTATTCCTGTAAAGATAAATCTGTATAGTGATCATGTATTCTCCTTTAGGGAATCAAACAGATTATTTTTCAGCATTTCCTCCGCTTTAGAATGATAATAAAAATTCATATTTTTATTTTTATCTTCTTGAAGATATCTTTCACAGATTTTCTTTATATATAAAAACAGTTTTTGTTATCATCCCTACCATCGAAAGATAACCACTGCAATTTCAAGAAGTCAACATTTTTGTTTTGTTTTGCAGAATTCTAATAGTAAAGTTGTACATAAAACCTATACCGTTTTGTATAAAAATAGAAAAAATTGACGTAAAATAATAGAAAATGTTCATAAAATAGATATCGATATGAGTTATAACAATAAAAATTGGCATAAAAATAATAAAACTTCATATAAAATTTCACTTTTATATATAGGAATATATTTTAGTTTCAAAAAAGGACAATATTTATTACCGAACTACCGTAACTTTACTTTTGTTCCAGTTATAAGAACTGAAATTTTTGCATAAAATTGATCAAAGATTTGCTCTTTTTCTTTAAAATATGTACAATTATTTTAAAAACTTTTGCTATCTTTATCTGGCACAGCTTATCTTTACGCGACTTCTTGTAGAAACCAGTATTCCCAATCAAATCAAGACAATATCACTCCTTTAAACATAGAAACACTTCCTAAATCCCACTCTACCGTATAGTTTAATATATTAAATTAATAGGGAGGGGGAAAAACCCAAACATTGGCCACTTTACATTTAATTTCATCCTTACATTTCAATGTTGGAATGTATTGCTCCCAATATCTATTATCTTCTTTTCTCATCAGATTTAAATCGACTTTTTCCTACGACAAGAGATTTGCCAGTTGGTCACAGCATCTGCCTGGGGAGATGGACAAGGCTGATGGGAATCAGTTCCAACACAATAAGTCATTATTTTCTATAACATACCCTTATAGATTGGAACATTCCTCCTGCAAGATCTAAGGAAATTCACTTTCTACTTTTTTTTCTGTACAAAAGAGCGTTTTTTGCTCTATCCCAAGGGATACCAAGAGATTGAGGTAAAAAAAATAATCTTAAAAGAAGCAAGGAAAAAAGTAAGAATTGTTTCTACAACTAGACAGTTATCTCTTTTCATTTTTAAACCACAAGAACTTGTATTGCTTACATCTTAAATCAGATTTATGAAACGTGGTAACCATACCTTATTCTCATTTCCATATACATAGGCCAGTATAAATATATAAAAAATAAAATTACAGCATTAAATCGTCTTTTGAAATCGTTAAATTTTTATTCTCAATGCTCATTTTTAATCGTAGATGCCAAAGACACGAAACGAAATTTATTATAAATAGGAAAAGAGAAGGAAGCGAATTTTGTATTTTTTTCTCATGGACTTCAAATGCTCATTCGTAAGCATCTTATATATAAGTTTATGGGGTAAATTTCTAGAAGAATATTATTATCTTTAATTAATTTTAACAAATATTCTTTAATTCTTAAAAATAAGAAGAATAATTAAATCTTCATATTCAATATCGGATTTCCCACTAGGCATGTGAGGCACATGCCCAGAGGCGCCGGGTCTCGAGGGCCCCAAATTGGAAAAAAATAAACAATTTTTCGGTTAAATAATTTATAAATATTTTTATACGTATAATTAGACGTTAGTAGTTTATAATAAGCAAACAAATAATAACAATAAATAAGAATAATCTTAAATTATATAGAAGGACCCCAATCTTGTGTGCCTGGAGGTCCCGGAAGGTCTTAATCTATCACTGTATATATCAATGGATTAATATTTCTTGAAGGTTGTATTTTGGAACTAATAAGATAAAAATATATTATAAAAGATATAATTATTAAAAGTATGTCCAAATTTTTCACGTTTTCTACGGATAGGTATTGAATCAATAGAGTCAACTTTGATAGAATTTCCTAACGATTACATCCAAACTTTTTAGGTTGATATATCAATTACTAAACAAATTTCTTCAATTCATTTAAATAAAATAGAAAAAAAGTTAAGAAAAACTCTAAAAAGTATTTTTTGACATTAAGAAACATTCTTGAGATCTATTTATATCCAATACATTTAAATTTAAATGGAAAAATAGCCCTATAAAAATGGGGAGAATGCAGAATTTCTTCAAAAGAAAAAAATTATGGTCAGCAGAGAAGTAAAGAATTCCTTTCATTCCTCAAGAGAAGAAAATATATCCCTTAAAAAAAGAAAAAAAATGGTTAAAAAATAAATCGAATATCGTAAAGATGCAAATAACACGTAAAAGTTTTTAATTGAATCGATTTTTCGATCGAAATAATGATATAACAATAGTAACGTTCCGGATTTTCGATTTTGTGCTAAACTATGCCAAGAGGTCATGTTTCTTTATGATCGTCATCTTGGCATCAAGCCCGTATCGATCAAAAGTTTTACTTCTTCTTACTTCGATTGTTCATTATTTTAGTATTTAAACTTGTCAACATCGCTCCCTACTTAATTTTTGTAATTTCGACACGTTTCGTCGGTTTCGCATGAGAGAAACGGAAGTGCACAACCCGTTTCGCTGATGTCCCCTACTTTGAAGAAAGCTATTAAGCAGAAATGGCTAATTTCTGACGTAACTACTGAAATTTTAATATGGTAAAATTAATTTATACACGTTTTTTATGAAGTATTTTTATATAACAGTAACAACAATTGATGCTAATGCGCGTATTCGATTGTCTTCATCATTAGCTAATCAATGATTATATTATGCAAATTTTAATCTAATTTTATGAAAAATTACTGGAATATTCATCAGAGAATGATTTTTATCAAGGATTTTTTAAATAAAAAATAAGTATCGTTGATTAACTTAGATCTCGACATAATGGTCTCAGCGTGCCCAGTATAGAATGGGCACGCTAGAAGGGCCAAGGTTATGTAGCAATTAAACTACTTAATTTTGAAATGGTTCACTAATTTTATTGTTAAGAATACATATAAAGAACATTTTTAGCCCTTTGAGACTGTTATTAAAGCTAAAATGCAAAAGAATCAATAATTTTTATATATATTGCAACTAGAAATATCTTCGTGAAAATGCAACATTTCAATATATCACAATGTTAAAAAGCCATCTCGCAAGATCTCTCACGGGTCGGAATTTTATCTAGTAGTGATGAAATTTGAAGCAAGTGAACCACTCGTCACTATAAAACGATGCAGTTCCAAGCAGACTCGTGCCCTACTTTTCCTTCTTTTGCTAGAGGCATATCGCTCCCATTGTTCTATAAAATTTGAAGATTGATTACATCGACAGTAGATCTTTAAAGAAATCTAAGGATTATGAGAATCTTGGCATTACAGATGAGAGGAACTTCCAAGTTATCTCTGATTTTACAACCTTCGGAATGATCTGATTATGTTTGACATGCTAAGGACTCCAGAGATCAAAAGGATGATTTATCAGTAATTTTGATCGTGTTCGCTTCTCTTATCAGTAAGATCACGTCTTCACGGATAAGGTATGTATCAAATAATCAATAAAAATTCATATTAATTCACTAGATCCAAGAGAAACTATTAAAAAGTATAGAGCGATGCATACGAAATTTTTAAACAACGAGCATTTCTTAAAAGCTTTCTAAAATCAGATAATAAAAATAACTGGTTTCAACCGGCGAAAAAAATAAAATAAAATAAATAAGAGGAAAACCACTCGCACGTCTACTTGTCTGTCTGTCAAACTGAATTTAAATTAAAGTTTTTTTAAAAAAATTTAAAAATTTTAAACAAAATTAAGACTTTCTTATTTAGCATGAGAAACTTACTTAACGTACTTTCTTATTTAGCATGAGAAAATGGAAGATTTAACCATCCTCGTGCTGAATGAATACAATACGCGATGTTTTATGGATAGAGTCAATAGACCACTCCTCTAGCCCAGTGGGGTCACGTGATCGGGATATCCTTATTATTGGGGCCGACCGATGCATTAAAGGCACACCGCGAGTAATAAGAGATCGCAGCATGATGCCATACAAGGCTGACCACCTAACACGGTCTGACAATGCAGACGCCGTCTAGCATTCCGTCCCGTTCGACCATAGCTACGACCGAGATGAATTTTTAGAAAAATAAAAAAAAGCATCGCTCACCGATGACGTCAGACGTATCCCCCTACGACTCCGACACAATATGGCAAAACAGTTTCACACAACCGGCTAGAAAACAAATCACAATACACACATCGGTCTCTGCCGCTTTTGGTCACACTTCCAAAAATGTTTCGGCTATATAGCTCGTGTCGCCTCCTTCCACCGGCAGATGGAGCTCGTGGACACCCCCCCCGATGTTGACGCACTCGACGATAGAGGGAGCCAGAGTGCAGACATATTTCCCTTCTTAATTTCTTCATTGTGTTTACTTTAATTTGTTATTACATCAAGAATTTATTTTGAATTAATTCTTAAAAATCACCAACTTTAAATACGAAAAATTCTATATGGTTAATTAAATTCAGTTATATTTTATATATCGAGAATGATCGACTTATTACGGTGTGAGTGAAGTAAGAAGTGCTTTTCTACACAAAATAGGCGAGTACTGACCGGAATTTTTAGAAAAAACACGAACAAATAAACAAGAAACAAGAAAACATGACCCACATCTAAGAAAAAAAAATTCAGGAAAGAATACAAATTAAATTTTCAGCCGACTTCAGAAATTAATCAAGACACTCTTCGTTTTCTTCTTCTTTTTTCCTCTATTGTTACTACTGTATTTTATTTAATTATTCTTATTTAAAAAATCATCATTAATCGATAAATAAATAAATATTAATTTCACTTTACACGAATATATTTACATTATTATTTTATCAGCAAGAAAATCTAAAGACAAATTTTACACAATTTAATTAATTTATAGAAGCAAAACGTATTAAGAATTAATTTTATAAAAGAAAATAAAGTTCTTTTCTTTAAAAAAACTTATAGAAAAAATATTTTTTAAGTGAAAATGTTTGCATGAGATTAGTTTTAAGTTGAAAAAGAAATTCTTTTGTGAATGCTCTAAATTTTTTATATAATTTTTTTTATATTTTTAATAAAAAAAAACAGGAAAATGTTGCCATTGTAGAAAGTAAAAATCTCGAATTTCTCTTGTGAATGTTGAAAAATAACTCAAGAATAATATTAAAAAAAAATTAATACGTCTGACGATTTGTTTCTCTTGTTTAGTTTCGTTGTCGAAGTATAACAATGGAAATGGTCGAATTTTCTTAATTTAAAACTATTTTAAAATTATATTTTAAAAAGTTATTAATATATTATTTTCTATTTTAGATAAAATTCTCACGAAACAATAATTAAAGTTATTAAAGGAGTAAAGAAAACTTTATACTTTAACAGGGATGTGTCGGAATTGATTATAGAAAATATAATAATGTTAGGAAATTCATTTTTTGTATTGTTTTTCTTATAAAACAGTTTTTGAATAATTAAATAATTATTTATTCAATAAATAAATAAATAAATCATATAAAAACGTTCGTTAAATAAATACAAACGTGCTTAAACAGAAAACAATAGAATTTAAAATAAAATTCATTATTAATGTAAAATCTGTATTTAAATTATGTAATATTCTAGTCACTTTTAGGAGTAATTATTCTATATTATAACTTATTAATTACAGCAAAAGTTCCTTAAGTTTCTATAAAATAATGAGAATGAGTGATGGACAGACGGAAAAAATAAATACAATATCCTTTTAAATCGTTAAAAATGTATTTTTTATATAACAAAATTGCTTAAGACAATTTCGATTATAGAAATCATTATTTAAATTAATTTTGGTTCACTCAATGTAATTGTTAAATTGTTATGTTTAATATATTCTCTCTTGTCTTAAATAAATTAAATTAAAAGAGAATATGTTTAAAATAAAAATAAAAAGATATGTTAAAATATAAACCATATTAAAAATAATAAACTTTTATTACAGTTTTACATTGAGTAAACTCCATTAAACTATTAAAAATATTAAAAATTTTAAAGTAAAAGGTTTAATGTAATTAAATATTTTTTTAAAAAAGTATAGAAATTCGTCTGTATTTGCTTTTAAACACGTATAAAATAAAATTAAATAAATTAAATGAGTCAACTTTCCAGATTAGCAAACATCAGTAAGATTAACTGCAACAATAAATATCAAACTTCTCAACGATCCTATTCCATTTTAAAGAGGTAGTTTTTACTAGCATTTGGCGAAGTTTTATCCTATTCCAGAATTCAAAAACTTTCGATTTTTTGGTTAGAGGGATTCTACTAAAAATTGGCGGTCCATATCGGAGTATGTCTCGCACAAACAAATCTATCGACCACAATCAAGTACGCAATCAATCAAAACTTTCTCATAACTCATAGTTGTGGAGTAAAGCAAGATGCGACTACAAAGGAATACTAGAGTCCTTTGGCCAGGGAGGGTAGGAAAATAGAAAAAAACTATGATCGATATTGTGTAGAAAGAAAAGGAAAATATCATCCCTCTTTTCGTTCCAATATCAATGGAAAGAATTTTGAGAGCGAAAGTAGTTTTATCTTCTTGGTTTGATACATCAAACACACATTCAATTCACCACAAAATGACTGTGAAATAGCATAAGACATTTCAACTGCATTTCGCCTCTTTTTGTACTTTATGAATTATCGCTAAACTGTTTCTGATATTTGAAGAGCCGAAAGAAAAATCTATATGTAGCGTATAAAATACAGCATAGCTATAAAATTGCATTTTGAGCACATCCGCACCCCTCTTATGAGCTTGCACGGTGTTTACCATTAATAATAATAAGCCAAAGAATGAAATCGGCTCGTCGTCACTTGTACAAATCACAGAATAAACGTTACAATCGAGTAAATAGCAAAATGACCCCAGGGCCATTAATAATAATACGAGATGACAATTGTTAGCCATTTTCTTCCGATGATAAATAACCCCTGGCAATTACCGTGCACAAAATGGCGGATGCCGAAAGAGTCAAAGTTCGCCTGGAGTTCAGAAAGCGTTAAATGGAGGGAGATTTTCCTCCAACGAATCGAATTTTAGTGAATCGGCTAGGAAAATTACCACATTAATTTATTTAAAAATTTAAAAATTACATTTCTGTTTAAGTGCAGAAAGCAAAAATGAGAAACTAGAGAAGAAAGTGCAAATATTTTATAACTAGAAAATAACTTTTTGAAGTTTAAAACACATTTAATATTGAGACTGATTTTTTAAATATTCTTTTAAAGAAAACAATAAAAAATTATTATTATTACACGTTAGAGTCAATTGCCAAAATCCTTATTAAAAAAATATTTAAATANTATGGCAAAACAGTTTCACACAACCGGCTAGAAAACAAATCACAATACACACATCGGTCTCTGCCGCTTTTGGTCACACTTCCAAAAATGTTTCGGCTATATAGCTCGTGTCGCCTCCTTCCACCGGCAGATGGAGCTCGTGGACACCCCCCCCGATGTTACGCACTCGACGATAGAGGGAGCCAGAGTGCAGACATATTTCCCTTCTTTTAATTTCTTCATTGTGTTTACTTTAATTTGTTATTACATCAAGAATTTATTTTGAATTAATTCTTAAAAATCACCAACTTTAAATACGAAAAATTCTATATGGTTAATTAAATTCAGTTATATTTTATATATCGAGAATGATCGACTTATTACGGTGTGAGTGAAGTAAGAAGTGCTTTTCTACACAAAATAGGCGAGTACTGACCGGAATTTTTAGAAAAAACACGAACAAATAAACAAGAAACAAGAAAACATGACCCACATCTAAGAAAAAAAATTCAGGAAAGAATACAAATTAAATTTTCAGCCGACTTCAGAAATTAATCAAGACACTCTTCGTTTTCTTCTTCTTTTTTCCTCTATTGTTACTACTGTATTTTATTTAATTATTCTTATTTAAAAAATCATCATTAATCGATAAATAAATAAATATTAATTTCACTTTACACGAATATATTTACATTATTATTTTATCAGCAAGAAAATCTAAAGACAAATTTTACACAATTTAATTAATTTATAGAAGCAAAACGTATTAAGAATTAATTTTATAAAAGAAAATAAAGTTCTTTTCTTTAAAAAAACTTATAGAAAAAATATTTTTTAAGTGAAAATGTTTGCATGAGATTAGTTTTAAGTTGAAAAAGAAATTCTTTTGTGAATGCTCTAAATTTTTTATATAATTTTTTTTATATTTTTAATAAAAAAAAACAGGAAAATGTTGCCATTGTAGAAAGTAAAAATCTCGAATTTCTCTTGTGAATGTTGAAAAATAACTCAAGAATAATATTAAAAAAAAATTAATACGTCTGACGATTTGTTTCTCTTGTTTAGTTTCGTTGTCGAAGTATAACAATGGAAATGGTCGAATTTTCTTAATTTAAAACTATTTTAAAATTATATTTTAAAAAGTTATTAATATATTATTTTCTATTTTAGATAAAATTCTCACGAAACAATAATTAAAGTTATTAAAGGAGTAAAGAAAACTTTATACTTTAACAGGGATGTGTCGGAATTGATTATAGAAAATATAATAATGTTAGGAAATTCATTTTTTGTATTGTTTTTCTTATAAAACAGTTTTTGAATAATTAAATAATTATTTATTCAATAAATAAATAAATAAATCATATAAAAACGTTCGTTAAATAAATACAAACGTGCTTAAACAGAAAACAATAGAATTTAAAATAAAATTCATTATTAATGTAAAATCTGTATTTAAATTATGTAATATTCTAGTCACTTTTAGGAGTAATTATTCTATATTATAACTTATTAATTACAGCAAAAGTTCCTTAAGTTTCTATAAAATAATGAGAATGAGTGATGGACAGACGGAAAAAATAAATACAATATCCTTTTAAATCGTTAAAAATGTATTTTTTATATAACAAAATTGCTTAAGACAATTTCGATTATAGAAATCATTATTTAAATTAATTTTGGTTCACTCAATGTAATTGTTAAATTGTTATGTTTAATATATTCTCTCTTGTCTTAAATAAATTAAATTAAAAGAGAATATGTTTAAAATAAAAATAAAAAGATATGTTAAAATATAAACCATATTAAAAATAATAAACTTTTATTACAGTTTTACATTGAGTAAACTCCATTAAACTATTAAAAATATTAAAAATTTTAAAGTAAAAGGTTTAATGTAATTAAATATTTTTTAAAAAAAGTATAGAAATTCGTCTGTATTTGCTTTTAAACACG